CACCATCCATAATGTAATACAAGTAGTCCTCGACTTACAATCATCTGTCTAGTGACCGTCTGAAGTTACAACAGCACTGAAAATGTGGCTTATGACCATTTTTCACACTTATGACCGTTGGAGCATCCCCATAGTCACATCATCAAAATTTGGACGCTTGGGAACTGGCATGTATTTATGACAGGGTCATGTGGTCACCTTTTGCGAACTTTTGATAAGCAAAGTCAATGCGGGAGCCAGATTCACTTAACAACCCTGTTATTAACTTAATAATTTAATGTTTCACTTAACAACTCTGGCAAGAAAAGTCATAAAATGGAGCAAAACTCACTTAACTGTCTTGCTTAGCAAATTTTCGGCTCAGTTGTAGTCATACGTCGAGACTACCTGTAACAAAATGGACCTGAGCACTTTTATTTTTTTAGGAAGCCTGTGCAAATTAGAACAATTGTTTGAACAAAGCCTTCCAGGAAAGTTCATTAAAATTAGTACAAAGCCTTGTTTCAATTTTGATATTTTCTGAAATCATTTTTTATTCCCTCAACATTTGATGTTTCATACTGCTGCTACACCCACATTATTTAGGCTTAGTAGTTTACAAGTTTTAATATAGGTTAATCTTTGTATTGCTCTAGGAGAGTTATTATATTAACTAAATATTGTTCAGCGCTTTGTACCTATAGCATAGAAAAGTTAAAATAAGTAACAAAACCTCTTTCTATTCCTCACAAGTTCCTTGCCTTAAGTTTCTACAGTGAGACCACATCAACATTAGCCATTAAGCAATAGGTGGGATTAAAAACTTCTCCCTCTTAACTAGCAAATTAGAATCTCAAATTAGAGTTGGATAAGATTTATACTCACAAGAGAAGCCTGCAAGAATTTTTAAACTATTTCCAAAAATAAATTACAATCATTTAAAAAAAGGAATTTCAAAGGAATCGAGAGACATGCCAACCCTATAGGTCAGTGGTGGCAAACCTATGGCACGCGTGCCAGAGGCGGCACTCAGAGCCCTCTCTGTGGGCACGTGCACCATGCCCTGGAGATGGCAACTGTCCCTCTTCAACCAGTCACTTGTTAACTTGCCGAGCTCCCATGTGGCCGGATGCATCCCAGCATGACTGGTTTCCCTCCCCCCCTCCCATCCCTCCTGGCCTCACATGCTCTCCTTTTCCTGGGCACGACCCACTGCATCGCCTCCTCAGCTGTTGGCCGGCTGTCCAGCTCAGAGGCAGCTTCTCTGAACTTCTGGTGTCCGTCAACAGCCCCAGAGTGCGCCGGTCGACGGGCCGGCAGGGTGTGGCTGTTGACGGACACTGTTGGCCCCCATGTGCTTGTTGGCCTCTGTGTATGGGGGCCGATGGTGTGAGGCAGCAGACGCCCCGGCCCCTGCCTCGCCTTGCCCTACAACAATGGCACCCCGCCCTGCCTCGCCTCACCCCTCAGGATGAGCCTCCTGCCCACCGCCCACCTGCCAGAGACCCCCTGGATCTCCCCCAAGCCTGCCTGGCCCCCACAGGCATCCCTCCCCACGAGCAACATCGAGGTGATCACACCCACCTTGGCCACACCCACCCAATCTGCCATGACCACAGCCACGCCCATCCAGTGGGCCACACCCACCTGGTATCCGGCGATAAATAAGTGGGTTTTGGGTTGCAGTTTGAGCACTCGGTCTCTAAAAGGTTCGCCATCACTACTATAGGTGCAATTGACTACTTGATAACTGTAAAAGAAGAAAAAATAATTATTGCAACAGAATATCAGGCAAGTTAATATTATTAAAAGAAATAAAAAACTTTTATTTTTAATGTTTTGAATTTTTCTGTCATGTTTTTGCCAACCATAGCATTTACTTTGTTGTGAGATGTTACTATATCTTCCATTTGTATAATGGATTATGATAAAGAATTTGAGTTAGGAGAATACAAAGAATCCAGTGCAGGTTCATTTAGAACTTTGATCCACTGATAACTTTATAAATAATACATATTAGGTATAGAATCATACATACTAGCATATTAAAATTGTAGTTTAATAAAATTTCGCAGAAGGCTAAATTGATCATTTAACTGATCTTGTTTTACTGCTGATATTTTACTTGCTGGTTTAGCTTACCTGCATCTTTATCCTCTATAGATGAATGCTTCTGTTTGTGTGGAAGGGGGACGAATATTGTTTTTCCCCAACATCTTTAACTGATTAATTGGCAAAGCTATGTCCAAAATCCACTCTCCACTCTGCCTATTAAGGTTCTCAAATTTAACTACCAAGATACTTTCCAATAAACTTTTAATTAGAGATGTCACCCTTTTGCAGGGAGCATCATTTGCTTTTACATGGCAGTTGGCTCAATTTCTCCTTATCCACATTTCTCCATTGACATGTCTTTCACTGTATACTTCTGCTACCCATCTCTTTGAACCAAAACTTCAATTTCTAAAGCTTCTACAGCCCATACTATAACTAGTCTGGTACTAATGATGCTATAATTCATAAAAAACAAGAGCTGGGTGTATAGTTAGTTTAACACAGTGATGGCAAACCTTTTACAGACCGAGCGCCCAAACTGCAACCCAAAACCCACTTATTGATTGCCGGGTGCCAGGTGGGCGTGGCCCACTGGGTGGGTGTGGCTGTGGTGGTCATGGCAGACTGGGTGGGTGTGGCCAAGGTGGGCATGGTCATCTCGATGTTGCTCATGGGAAGGGACACCTGTGGGGGCCGGGCAGGGTTGGAGGTGATCCAGGGGGTCTCTGGCAGTTGGGGCGGTGGGCAGGAGGCTCATCCTGCGGGGTGAGGCGAGGCAGGGCAGGGATGCCATTGCCGCAGGGCAAGGCGGGGCAGGCCGGGGCAGCTGCTGCCTAACACCATCGGCCCCCGCACACAGAGACCAGCGAGCACATGGGGGCCGACAGTGTCCGTCAGCAGCCACAGCCTGCCGGCCCCTCAACCGGCACACTCTGGGGCTCCGCAGCCCGCCGCCAGCAGTTCAGAGAAGCCGCCTCTGAGCTGGACGGCTGGACGACAGCTGAGGAGGTGATGCAGTGGGTCGTGCCCGGGAAAAGGAAAGCATGCGAGGCCAGGAGGAATGGGACGGGAAACCAGCCATGCTGGGATGCATCCGGCCATGTGGGACCTCGGCAAGTTAGAGGGCGACTGGTTGAAGAGGGACGGTTGCCATCTCCGGGGCATGGTGCGTGTGCCCGCAGAGAGGGCTCTGAGTGCCACCTCTGGCACACATGCCATAGGTTCACCACCACTGGTTTAACATAATCTCCCTCAATCTGATGTAATCCAGATCTTTGTAAATGTCAGTTCTTTGAATTCGCAGCCAGCATGGGTTATCATTAGACCAAGCTTTACCACCAAGTCATCAAAGCATAACCATCTTTGTACAGGCAGCATTTGCACAATATGTAAGTGTACTTAATATGATTTACTCTCTCAGTCGGTCACTTAAATTTATGACTCATCAAATTATATATTGGCTACACATGGGATTGATTCACATAACATGCTAGGTGGTATGGTATAGGGTTTCCTGCCTAAGCAGGGGGTTGGACTAGATGACCTCCAAGGTCCCTTCCAACTTTATATTATTACTACTACTACTACTACTACTACTACTACTATTATTATTATTATTATTATTATTATTATTATTTCTATTATTATTATTAACAGTAGAGCTTAGGAGGTTATCATTCAGCATGTTGTGTAAATTAATATGTATGACAACTTTTCCTAACTTGACAAACTCCAGAGATATGTTTAATGTATCTCAAAATTGTTTACAAAATAGACAATGGTTGGAAAACTGAAAGAGGTTGGTTTAGCAAAACAAAAATCAACAACAAAAACACTTTTATGGAGTCCTTCCACTGTATAAATCTGCTTACAGATTTCTAATGCTGCATCAGTGTTCCATTGAACAGCAGATAGGAAATGTGATGCGAACTGGGCTCCAGCATATGTATGATTCTCTATATACAGATGTTTGACATGAATCTATTCAACTAGTGCCACAAGCAATTTGATCATATTTCCCAAGGAGTAATACCCCAATCATAGTTGTTGTATGGAGAAAAAAACTGATAGAAAGTATATAATCTAGTTCAAATTTTCCAGGAATTATTATTTTTTATAGAATGATTCAAATAGTATTTCAATTGCAGGGTTTAGTTTATCACTGATAAAAGATATTAAATTATGTTAGGAAAAAAAGGAGTTGGTGGTGGTTCAGGATGTATTTTATACATTTCCACTGCAGCCATAATTACTCAACAGAATTTTTAGTGGCGGTAGGGAGGAGAGAGCAGCTCTGCGGATGAACAGCTTGTAAGGATAGTCGTGATCAGCGGTTCTTTAAACCAAGGCAACTTGACATCCTCGGAGTATCACGCCGGATTCCTACTTCGCAGGCACCAAAGAAAGATCTGCAGCGTCCAGTTCTGAGGTTGCACGTCCCACCTCCAGACGGTGTTTTAAATGCAGGAAATTTCACATCCGGGAAACGACAAGCGAGCAAAGACGTGGAATGCAAAAGGGGGAGAGGTTTTTCTCTTTCTTCTCCCTCCCTTCTTCTCTAATGCATTTTGAAGTAAGTAACCCCCCCCCCTTGACTGGAGGTGAGCGGGGGGGTTTTCTATCTTGCCGTTCCGAGCTTTGAGAAAGTTGCATCCACAGTTGCCTCAGGTGCCAGAGGCAGAGAGGCAGGGGAGAGAAGCACCGGGACTGCGGATCCGGGAAGCACCAGGAATTGTTGAGGGGTGTTCGGGGGGGGGGGGGGGAAATTGCACTGCTTCTGCCACAGCCAATCCCGGCAGCGATCACATCAATGCAAATAGGAGCACAATGGAGCTGGCAATAAGCACACTGCAGCCAAGCTTGGAGCGGGTTGCGTTTGGCTGACGGGCTGCCGCTCCAATGGCAGGAGCTGGGGGGCTCCGGGTAACCAGTGGCGGCGATGTGGGGGCGTGCCGGTGTCAGGCTAGGCTGTCCTTGCAGGGTGTCTGGGCTAAACTTCACCAAATAATAGCTGTTTGTATTTTGGCTGCTGCAGGAGCCATTTTAGGTAAGTTGTGCTCTGAACTTTTTATTGGCGCGCCGTGCGCTCGCCAGGAGCGCTCGGGGTACACCAGCCGGCCCGGGGACTGGCTATGAATGAATTTGGGCTGCCCGGCCAAAGCCGGCAAGGCGCTAAGAGCCAAAGAGCCGGCGGTCAGTCTGTCGGTCGGTCGGCCGGCCAGGCGGCCCGAACTCAGCTTGGAGGGGGCATGCCGAGCGCTTAATTCTCCTCTCAGGCACTGTCATGGCGTTGGGGAGGCTCTGCCCTTGGGAGCGGACCTTCGGGCACTGGGCGTCAGGGAGGGGATGGCTCATGTGATGCCCTCTGCGCAGATTTGCTCAGCGGGTGAAGAGGAGGAGGAGGAGGAGGATGCCTGTCTCGACCCAGCGAGCGGCGATGCCCCTTGTAGCGCCAGCCTTCTCTCTTAAAAGAACAAGGCTGGGGGAGGGGGAGGGAAGGCGACCCGCAGCTCCTCCCTTTCGTTCTCTGGGCAGGCGGGCGGAGGGCTACGGCTGCGATGGCTCCCGATGACCCTCTCGCCCCCAGAAGTTCTCTGCGCCTGCCCACTGTTTTGCATGGGTGGCGATAAGGAGGATGCGCCGTCCAACCCCAGCTGCGACTCCCTCGAGTCTGGCCCCACGCACTGCAGTTTGCTTTCCCTTCCCCCCCCCCCCCCACTTCAAGGCGCTCTGGCACACGCGCGCTTACACAGACACACAAACACAAGAGTCCTGCCCACCTGCCTCGATTGCAGATCCATCCACAGTACGTCCGTGAGTCATGTGCATTCCTGCAACCATGACCAAGTTTGGTGCAATTTGGGGGCTAGAGACAGAGTAGCATCAATAGAGAGTTGGAAACCCCGTCCACTCCTCTCTGCATTGTTTTGTGCGCTCTCCGGCAGCATTGCCGTCTTCTGCATTATGATACCAAGAGCTGGTATTATTGTGTAATATGGTTTGTAAATATTTGCACATTTTGAAAAATTCGAGATGCTAGTACTCCTGAGACCTGAAGGATAAAAGGGCAAATTAGTATCTTGGGTGTTCTTGTAAACTACTACATTGCAGTGGTGGATTATGAGACATTCCACGATAACCTCTTGTCTGGTACTCTCCAAACATGGGAGATCCCAGAATCCCCAGCCAGTGTAGCTGTTACCCATGCTGATTGGAAAATTTTAGAGTTCTAGCCTCAATATATATATTAAGGGCCATGTTCATTAAGCATCCCAGCATTTATGGACATTCCGTACAATACACAAGAGCCTGTGCATAGCTTTATGCAGAAAAAACCCCATAGACTTGGAAAAGTGACCTTGGGAACTAGTAGTTTATATAGTGTGGATGTAATGTGATGGAGTGTATATTCAAGTTGAGCCTTTAGTTGAGTTAAAAATGTTTCCCAATCCCCTTTTTTGGAATCTACACGAAATGAGTGTTCCAAATAATGATTTGGGAAATACTGCTGATACAAAACAAAATCCCCCAAACACAGTGGTATCACTCAGATATTAATTGTATACAATAAAAGCTGTGATTTTAAGATATTTTATATTTTTATAGCTTTGTATTGTAACATTGTAGCCAGCAACGCAATTTAAAATCTACAAAATCATCTCTTGGGGTTTCTTTATACACAGAGCAAGCAAGGACATTTTCTAATCCTGAAATGATTAGAAAACAGAAACCAAGCTGCTAATGAAAGCAGTTAATGAGTAGGGCTTTCTGTACTGCAATAGCAGCTGTGGACAAAACTATCATCATTGCCAGATCATCTGTTCCTCCTCTTTTGCTGGGTGCAAATCAGACAGATTGTTTGTGACTTTGCAGTGGTATTCACGATACAGAAAGCATGACAAGTCTCATTAAAGTAACTTCTCATCCGTTCTATTGCTGCTGTTTCCTAGTGAACCTGTAGTTGGATTACAAAGCTTTAATCATCATCATGTTGATGATTTCTTTGGGAATTCTTTATTTCTTATTCTAGATGCTTTTTCTGATAATCAGTAGAGTAGTATTGATCAATATGTTGGTTGGCCTAAACTATATAGGAAGTCAGAAGTAAGCCTGCATGCTAATAATATAAAGAGAAGGAATATAATAACCATATGAGTTGCAGTTTGTGGAACCATTTTTCATGTAAACCCAAATATTTTCTCTGCACTGATTTAACTTTCTGACAATTGTTTAATAACTTAAAATTGGAAAGATAGGAAACTGATGAGGTATTTTATATTTATGAGATTGCTGGTTGAATCATTGGGCAAAAAAGAGCCAGCATAGTGCATTGAATAGACTGGACATGTCACATTCTTTGATCTTTAAGCTACTGATCTGTTGGAAGGCTAAAATGGGACTCTTATACTGTAATCATGTATGTTATTATGAATGCCTTGGAGAACATTTAGTTTACATATTTAAATTAAAATGGGATAAAAGTATTTATTAGCCTATAAAACCAGATGATGTTCTAATTCTAATTCTTAGACTCTCACTATTTATGTTGTCTCTTTTCCTACCGTATGTAGAAGCATTGTGACTTTAATCTATTCTTTTAAGCAGCCTTGTTCACATATAGATTTTTCAGATTGTTTTATGACTTTCCAAGCAAAACTATAGAAATGCAATTTCCTGGTGGTCTATCTGAGTACAACCAGGTCTGACCCTACTTAGCTTTTGGGGATCACCCAGAATTTGATAATATTGTTGGTCAAAACTGGATAGGAATATTGACTATTGCTTTAGTTGGTGGTGCTCTAGTGGTATTTTAATATTACAGGCAGGTATAATGAAATAATTTCTGGGGTTATTATCAGTTATAGATTTAATTGTTTTTGTGGTACCTTGCTATTAAGATAATTCTTTCATTAATATGATTTGTCTTTACAGACCATATTTCTATATTACCTTTAGGACTCTAGAAGAAATTCTGTGAGAATAATGTGAGAAAGAATCATCTCACACTAGTAGCTTCCTTGTCCTCCCCTCACCTACATGTCATGTGCAACCTCAAAACTGCCCAATAGGGCTGGAACCTCTCTAAAACACTTTGAGCATACTTAAATGGTGGGAAATCCTCTTCCTATTGATTCAATGCAATTTTTTGAACATGCTATTGGATACCACACATAATTTGGGGGTTAATTCTCTGACATGCAAAGCAGTCGTGGCATATTTGCTTGGAAACCAAACAAAAAATAATGTTTACTGTAGTTGTGCCTTTTGCACAATCAGTGGATATAAAAATGCAAACCTAGTTTTCATGGTTTTGCCAGTATTTTAAGTATTTTATGTATTTATTATTATGTTGTCATTTTTAATAGATTAAAGCCAGAAGTGAAAGTATGTTTTGATTGAGCTTATTTCAGTATCATAGAATTGTAGGATTATAGAGTTTGAAGGGACATAAGGATAATCTAGTCCAGCCTTCTGCAACATACAGAAAAACTGTTTAACTCATTCATGACAGATGGCTGGCTTCTTCTTAAACATTTCCAGAGATGAAGAACCTTCTAGTAGTTTTATAGATCTTACTATCAGGAAGTTTTCCCTTATATTTAAATCAAATCCTGGTAGCTGCAACTCATATCTATTATTTCTGTTTCTAGTTTCTGTTGCCATAGAAAATAGTTCATGATATCTTTCCTGTAACTTCCTTTTATGTACTTTAACCCAGCTAACATTTCTCCCTTGTCATCTTCACAATGAACATTCAAGGTCCTTCAGCTGGCCATCAGCGGGCAAATCTTGAAGTATCTGTGTTGTCTTTTTTGTCCTCCTTTTGAACCATCTACTACTTGTCACTACTTGTCAATATCCTTCTGTAAGTGGGAAACCTGAAGTTGTATGCCAGCTATGGTGTCACCAATGCCAACTGGAAAGAAAATAATGACAGTGGTTCTTTTGATGCTGGCCAGAATTGCATTAGCCCTTCTAGCAGCTGTCTGACACTACTAGCTCATGTTTAGCTTGTTGTCAATAACTTCACCAAAGTCTGTCTCAGAAATAGGCTTTTCAAGCCATGAATGTACATATGTCCCACATTTTTTACCCCAAATATAATATCTTACATATTTCTCTGTTAAGAAATATTTTGTTCCTCTCAGCCTAGACTTCCAACCTGCCCAGATTTGGCTATACTTTTTTTTTTGTCAAATTGGGTGTTCTAGACTTTCTAATGTTATGTCATTCATAAATTTGGTAAACGGTCCATTGGTGCCATCAGAAGTAATTAATAAAAATATTGAATAATACCGCCCCAAAAATGTATCCCGTGGAATCTCACTAATTCCTACTTCACTTAACTGCACTTAAACAATTTGTTAGTGAGAATGCTTGTGGAACTTTATCAGAAGCTTTGCTGAAATCAAGATTGATTATATCCACAGTATTTGCCTTGTCCACTAGAGTGATTAATAAATCAAAGAAGGAGACAATGTTTATATTACCTGATTTTTTTTTACAAAGCCATGTTGGCTCTTAGTAACCATGGCCTGGCTTTCAAAGTTCTTACAGATGGCTGCTTTTTTACTGGCTCTAACATTTCTGCAGGCTTCATGTTAGGGTCATTGGTCAATAATGCATGAATCCTCTTTTTTTTTTTTGCTTTCCTGCAGAAAGCTACATTTGCTCCTCTTGAATCAGCTGCTACTTCCCAGTTCTCTCGATCTGTCAAAGTAATTGACAGAAATCCTGATAAACAGTTCCTTTATAATTCTAGGATGAATGTAATTAGAACCTAGAAATGTAGGCATTTAAATTAGCTAGAAGTTATTTTCCTATATTTTTATGGACAGGCACTCTCCTTCAGTATCATTTCAAAATGCAACTACTTAGATGTCATATTACCTCATTACAGCAATACATTCATGATTTTCCAGATGAAATTCAGTATATGATAGCTTTGTAGGACATTTGATGAATAAGTAAATCTCTTTGTAATTACTTCATTGATAGCTTTAAAGTATTGGGGCTGATGATAAAATGAATGCATACAAACTGGTA